TGATACAGGTGCTTGTGTTGGACAATATGTCTCCTCTTCCTCCTAATTGTTGCTATTGGGGTTTCTGCTGCCATCCTTTATGCCGTTTTCCAGCCAAAACTACCGAATTACTCTGTTGACAAACTACAAATAACCCAGTTCAATCTTGGTTCTGATTCAAGCCTGTCTGCAACCTTTGACGTGACAATTACAGCTACAAACCCCAACAAAAAGATCGGAATATACTACGAGGGAGGCAGCAGTCTGAGAGTTTATTACACCAACACACAACTATGTCAAGGGTCAATGCCAAAATTCTACCAAGGCCACCAGAACACAACAGTGCTTATCTTGCCTTTAACAGGACAAATACAAGATGGTAACGCTCTGGTTACGGCTCTGAGAGAGCAACAGCAGCAGGCCGGAAACATTCCATTGAATCTGAAAGTGAACCAACCGGTGAGGGTTAAGCTTGGAAAGTTGAAGCTGATGAAGGTGAAGTTCTTAGTGAGCTGCAGATTGGTGGTGGATGCTTTATCCGCCAACAGTGCTATTAGTATTCAAAGCAGCAGCTGCAAGTTCAAGTTCAGATTGTAGATTATTGGATTGCCTCTTGGCTACATCATTTCCTTATACACTTCTCCATTTTTTTACCCTTTTTTTTTCATTTCTTTTTTATGATAGATAAAAGATTGGAGGGTTATTTATATACTATTCCTTCCACCATAGTACATTTTTTTATGTAGTTCCCCTATATTCCATTTTTTGTATTTTTTTATGTGATCGAGTTGCATTTTATGTATTGAGACATTATTATCATTTTTAAAGTCCGGATTAAATTACACTTTACAATAATTCTCAACATATTATTTATCATTTTTTAAAATTCAAATTAATTCCACACTCATAAAGTTATATGGTAAATTTAGGTTTTATTTGAGAGTGTTGTAATTTATTGAGATTTTAATATTTTTTTAATTAAAAAATATAAAATATTAATTAAAATTAATTATGTATGATAAATTTTTTTTACACCATGCTACAAGAAAAAGTATTATATAAAACACTCTCAAATCAAACCTAGTCAAGAGATGAGAAGAATTCGATGAGGATGGGGTGCGATTGGGTCATCTTTGATCAGGCACCCCAACATCTGGGTCATTTGGGCTCAAGGTTGATAGGTTGCATTTTTTCTTTGTAGCCCAATGGCTCATGACCCTTATCTCAGACATACCCATCATGCTTTTATTTTTGTCAACCATACCTACCATTCTTGAGAACTCCTATTGATAGGTACAATTACAAAGTTGATGATTTTCCATTTCCCCACCAATGAAAAACAGTAAAAGTTTGATATGATGATCCAACTTGAGCATAATCTAATGATAAATAATTACATATTACATAGTCTTTTGACTCTTTTCCACCATCACTAGGGAAACAAAAAGTGAGAGATGTCAAATTGTCAATGAGGCATTATTGCTACAGGGAAGTGCTGCCCTTTGCAGCCATGGTTGCAGTAGAGTGCTGCAACGTTGGCACAAACATTCTATTCAAAGTTGCTACCCTCAAGGGGATGAGCTACTATGTCTTCCTGGCCTACTCTTATGCCAACTTTGTTCTTTTACCTTTCCTCTTCATCTTTCGCAGGTTTTTTTGTTATGATCATCTCTAATTCTCATTTTCTATGCAGAAAAAAAGGAGGAAACTTAGTTTTGTCTCTAACAACTTAATTTCCTGATGTTTTCAATTTTTTGCAGCTCAGCAGTGTTTCCTTCATTCAAGTTCCCTCTCATCTTGCCTTTCAAAAAAAAAAAAAGGTTCCCTCTCATCTCCAGAATCTGCCTCCTCGGTTTTATTGGGTACTCAACTCAAGTATTATGCACGCAAAAGATTGAGAAAGATTAAAATCAAGATTGTTTTTAAGTTTTTAATGCAGGTTTTTTTCACAGCTAATTGAATATAAAGACATAGAATATATCTCCCCAACTCTTGCTTCTGCCATCAGCAACCTCAGACGGGCCTTTGCCTTCATACTTGCCATCGTTTTTAGGTATCATCCTTTTTCCAGTTGCTCTGATCATTCAAAATTGATAAACTTCTTCTCATAACAACTTTTCTCAAATGCTGTCCCATTGTACATTGCATAAAACACAGACAAGAACTTTTACAGCCAATACTACCATGTTTTATGTTTAATTAATCCATGTAGGTCCATTTAGTGGGTACCAAAATCATTGATTTTGTCACCTCCTTAGACATTTATCCCATGATGCTATGATTGATATATATTCTTTATTTGGATTTCATGAATAAAGGATGGAAATAGTAGCATTGAGAGTGTCAAATTATTGGGACTATAGTCACAATATTAGGTGCCTTGGTGGTTGTTCTCTATAAGGGCCCAACAGTTTTTTCCTCTGCATCAACTGTTTCACTTCAATGGGCTATGGGATCATCACCATCAAATTGGTTCATGGGTGGCCTCTTGCTTGCTGCTGAATACCTTCTTCTTTCAGTCTGGTATATTATTCAGGTAAAAATACCTGCCTGAGCCTCCAAGAAGGCCCTGGTTAAGTACCATTGGAGAACATTTGGTTTTCTACATTTTATGAAACTAGAAAAACTTCAAAGTACCTAAACTTGAACAATATACCGCTTTGCAGACCCAAGTAATGAAGATATATCCAGCAGAGTTCACTGCTATATTCTTACACAATGTTTGTGGAACTATTATATCCATACCAGTATGCTTAGCAGCAGAACCAAACTTGAGTTATTGGATTCTGAAACAAGTGTAGCAATTGCTGCAATTGTATACGCGGTAAGAACTTTAGTCACATATGCTTAAAAAACACATTGTAGACTATCTTTGGGAGTTCTAAATGTTTATTGTTTCAATCTATTAGGAGTTTATTGGAATACTAGTTACTGTTGGGCACACATGTGGATTGAACCTAAGGGGGCCAGTTTATGTCACATCATTTAGGCCATTGTCAATTGCCATTGCAGCAGCCATGAGTACCCTGTTCCTTGGAGATGTTCTGCATCTTGGGAGATACAAAAAAAAAAAATCCTTTGTACTATTCTCAATTTTTGTTTGCTACTCCTTTTCACAAGCAAGGTATAAATGTTTGATCCTGGTATTCCAGTGTCATTGGAGCAGTAATACTATCCTTTGGGTTTTATGCCGTGATATGGGGAAAGGCAAAAGAAGAAATGGTTGATAATTCTAGTTTATTGGAAGTAACATTGTCAGATGATGGGTGTCCTTTGTTGCAAAGTTATAATGTTGAATGTAGCAGAACAAGTAATGCAGGAATATAACTTTAATTAGAAGGTGTTCTAAATTTTGTATATATTTCAATTGGATTACATATTTTTATTGTTGGCTGAGATTACATTTTATTTAAAAGCTAATTATAAAGAAAAAAAAATTCAAGAGTTCTGAAAATCTAAAAATTCCAAATTAAGATTTCAGTGACTTGTCTTCTCTGTTTCTTCAACGAGGAGAAGAAACAAATAACAATGGACAAAAATTCTGAATATGTTGGATTGGTACATATACAAATAAAATTTTTCAGTGTGCTCAAGACGTTTATCATTGTAAAAGCTGAAATTTGTTGTAAAATAATAAAATAATTAAATTAATTTCACATAAAGTGT